TACTAACTAGATAGTAGATAAGAATTATCTTAGGTAAAGGGAAGGACAGCACACACTACAGTGGACGTCAGCACAACTGGACTGAACCAAAGCTAAGAAATTTCCTGAATACAATCAAACACTTTGAGGGACAGAGTAGCAGGGGTAGGGGTCTGGGGACCATGCTTTCAGGGAACATCTACGTCAATCGGCATAACAAAGCTTATTAAGAAACTGTTCTGCATCCTACTTTGATGAATGGCATCTGGGGTCTTAAAAGCTTGCAAGTGGCCATCTAAGATGCATCAATTGGTCCTAACCACCTGGAGTAATGGAGAATGAAGAATACTAAGGAAAAAGGAAAGTATTAGCCCAAGAGGCAGAAAGGGCCACATAAACCAGAGACTCCATCAGCCTGAGACCAGAAGAACTAGATGGTGCCCGGCTACCACCAATGACCGCCCTGAGAGGGAACACAAAAGAGAGTCCCTGATGAAGCAGGAGAAAGGTAGGGTGCAGAATTCCTATTCTAGTAAGACCAGACTTAATGGTCTGAATGAGACTGGAGGAACCCCGGACAGCATGGCCCTCGGATTCTCTATCAGCCCAGAACTGAAACAATTTCTGAGGCCAACTCTTCAGATAGGGATTGGACTGGACTGTGGGACATAAAGTGATACTCCTGAGGATTGTGCCTCTTAGCTCAAATAGATACAAGAGACTAAGTGGGCAGCTTCTGTCTGGAGGTACGATGGGAAGGCAGAGAGGGTTAGGAGCTGGTTGAATGGACGTGGGGAATCAGGGGTGGAAAGGAGGAGTGTGCTGTCACAGTATGGGGAGAAGAATTAGGGTCACATAACAATGTACGTATAAACTTTTGTGTGGGACACTAACTTGCAATGTAAAACTTCATTTAAACTACAACAACAAACAAAAAAAATAAAAATAAAAATTCCATAGCCAATATTACAAATGAAAGATAGCAGGGCTGTGAGTAGTTCAAAAGTAACTTATTTGATAGGTGGATTTGTTTTTACATCTTTTGGGAGAATCCTCAAATTACTTCCACATTGCAAAGTGTTTACTGTTGGCTTGTTGGGTCTTCTTTCATTCAACAATTATTGAGCCTCTCCTATGTGCCAGGCACTGTTCCAGGCACTGATGGTTTAGCAGTGAACAAAACAGATGAAATCTCTATTCTTTCATAAGGAAGGCAAATACTAAAAACACAAGAACAAAAACATACTTTTAGTGGCGATACACACACACACACACACACACACACACACAGCTACTTTCAAGTGTGATGGAGAAGAAAAGTAAAGACAGACAGGGGGTTAGAGAGATATGAGGGTAGGAGAAGAGGGTCGTTTTAGTCAGGGTAGGCCTCTCTGAGGAAGTGGTATTTGAGCAGACCTGAAGGAAGTAAGAGAGCTAGCCATGGAAAGGTACAGTAGAACAGTCCAGTAGAGGGAACAGCAACTGAAAAGGCTCTGAGATGGCAATAACAAGAAAAAGACCAGTATGGTGAAAGTGGAATGAGCAAGGGGAAGAGTCATAGTATCTGATGGAGAAGAGGTGGGTGTGGACAAGATCGATGTAGGGCCTTAAAGGTCCACATAGGGATTCTGAATTTATTCCAAGGGTAATGCAAAGCCACTGAGTTCTTAAAAGATCACTTTGCCTGCTGCACAGACAAGACTGTACAAGGAAACAAAAGAAGGCAGGAAAATTTGTGAGATTATTACAGGAGTCCAGCCAGATGCGATGATGGCCTGGACCAAAGTGGTAGCGTAAGGGAAGGAGAAGTGGTCTAAGATGGATTTTTTTTTTTAATTGTACTTTAGATGAAGGTTTACAGAGCAAATAGTTTCTTATTAAACAGTCAGTACACATATTGTTTTATGACATTGGTGAACAACCCCACGACATGTGAACACTTACCCTTCTTGACCTTGGCGGACCTTTTTTTTTTTTTGGTGGAGATGGCTATATTTTGATGGTTGACACAATATAATATAATATGCTGATGAATTTAATAGGGTGAATGAGGAAGAAATCATGGATGACTCTTAAGCTTCTGGCCAAAGCAACTGAGTTAATGACAGTGCTGTTTACTAAACAGGGGCCAAGTGATAGAGAAAAAGTTTGTTGGGGGAAGAAATCAAGGGGCCTATTTTGGACATGTTACATGTAGGACGACCATAAGACATTCAATTCACGATGTCAGGAAAACAATCATGCCCTTACATCTACAGGTTAGGTGCAAGGTTGGGGATGATGGTGTAATTCTGGTATTTAAAGATAGGAGGCCAGAAGATATCTCCTAGGTTGTGAGGGTCGACAGAAAAAAGAGTGTGAAGACAACCCTGAAGACTGCCAACATAAGAGACTGGGAAGAGGAAGTGGAGTGGCCAACGAGGTGTGCCACGAGCCAGGTCAATAAAGTGTTTCCAGTAGGAGATAGTGATCACCTGAGTCAAAGCTGCTAATAAGCAGAGTAAGATGAGAATTGAGAACTGACCTGATAAAAGTGGATTCAGTGGAGTGATGAAGAAAACTAGTGCATGTTCAAGAGAGAAGGGAAAGATAATTAAGTACAGACAAGTCTTTCAAGGCATATTACTTTAGGGACAACAGAATTGACTGCTGTATCCCTAGCATCTCAATAGCACTTGGCATACAGTAGGTGTGAAACAATTACTGAATAGAGGTCAAATCTGAACATTCCCAATACTTCAGAGCAAATTAAGAAACCTTAACGGCTGAGATCTAGAGAGCTTTCTGTGCATCCCATTCTGTTCCTAGTTTAATTCTTTAGGCTCTTCATTCTATGAAGAGGATGAACTACAAAAACATGAGTCTGTTTTTCTTTTTTCTTAGTGTATTATCTGGGACCAAAGGGTAATTAATTAGCATTCTGATTGGCAGCTTAACTATGAGATAAGAGAACGTCCTTCCTTTTCTGCTGCCCAGTTTTCCAGAGGTCATATCTAATTAAATTGTAACAGATAAAATATGAACATGTCAGCAAAAGATTTAAAAAATAAATGGTCATCAAAAAAAAAAATCTTATTCCAAACTCTCTGCTAAGACCTGAAAAACAGTCACTATTTTCCAAAATGGGCTGCCTTCCCTCCCCCAATGCAGACACACTTCCCGTCCTCACAGTGCAGCAGTGAAGCCCCTCGTGGAGAAAAGGCAATGTCCGCGCATCAGGTTTTCCTACCTGACATAATGTCTTCTGCTAGTTCCTTTTCTCTTTCCATTTTTTCCTCTAGAGTTGAAATGCAGAATTCATAGCCAGCAAGAGCAAATTCCTGTCTATAAAGCAAAGATCACCAATTGGCCATTCATCTTTTCACAAACTCCTCTTTCAACCTCATTTTTCAGCTTGGGTTTGAGCATTATCAGTAAAAGAAGTGTAAGCTGGGAAGAGGAAATTTTCTTAGAAGTCTCTAATGGGTAACAATCTGCCATTTTCTCAAAAGTTGCTATTTGTTTGTTTTTTTCAAGTGGTCTATTTAATGTAACTTAAGATGTAAAAAGCTAGGAATGCTGACATAACCAGCAGCCTTCATCATCTCCCACCAACAAACTCTTTCAAGTGAGTCAGTTCCTCTAGTTGTATAAGTCTCACACCTGTTTAAAGTAATGCTACTAATATGACTGCACAAACAATTCCTACTACTGACCTCAAACTGTTTCTGGACAAGAAGTTTATACCTTTTCCAAGCTACAGGAAAATCTCTGATGAAAGTTTTACAGAAATGGAACTGCTAGCTATGGCTCTAGAAGGCATTTAGCCAACTCTGTAGCCTTGGACTCTCAGCCAACTGGAGAGGACACCGCTAGGAAGCAGACTGGCTCTGGACAGACTAAGTGCCAACTGCTGGTTTCTATAAAGAGACGCACAGTAACATGACAGAAATTCCTTCTCCATCCAGGGGCTCAGCTTTGTTCCTGTCCAGCTTCTTATCAGGAGCGGCACTACAAAGCTCATCTACCTTCCTCTAGTGCTTTGCCAGAGAGAACTGATGACTCCACTGTCTTACTCTGTTCTTAGAACAGAGGCTTCCCCTACCTTCCCCAGACCAAAGCTTGGCAGGAAGGGCCCTATCCAGGCAGGACATGGAGCAGGGGGCTACCCATTAGATGTACCTCATCAGAGAAAAGATATCTATAAACAACTCCCCTCCTAACATCAGCCTTTCTAAGCCTCAGGATCTGGCCATATCTTTGCTGGCCTCATGCTCTCTTAATAAAACGAAACACTTTTGAGGAAAACATAGCTTAACTTAAGAGGCTAATAATTTCAATGGCAACTACACAAGTTTTTGGAGCCCTGACAGCACAGTGGTTAAGAGCTCAGCTGGTAACCAAAAGGGCAGCAGTTTAAATCCACCAGCCACTCCTTGGAAACCCTATGGAGCAGTTCTACTGTGTCCTAATGGGTCACTATGTCGGAAATCGAAACGACGGCAATGGGTTTACAGAAGCCTTCACCTCTACAAAACTGTGAATGTCTTACTCTCCAGTGTTTCTCATCTCTGCACTTCTTCTTATCCTAGAATTCATACCCCATCAACATCTACTCTTGTTTTTAATTCTGCAAGGGAGACTGACCCTGCTGCAGTGTTCCCTGGCATGGACCAAGCTCAAAGCTCAAAAGATTCGAAGTCAAAGGCCCTCAGAAGCTCTAGCCTATCTAGTGTCCAATCAAAATGCAGATCTGAGCAAGTCCTGCTCAGAGATAAGTAGCTGGTGAATAGGACAGAAGGGACCAGGGCCAGGGGTCTTAATGAGCAATCTTTCTACAGCACCGTGCCTGATATCCTTGCAAACCTCTGGCACCCAACCTCTGCAGCAACTAAAAACCTACGGAAAAGCTAGTCTTAGGTCTCCCCATAAACTCACCCCAAAATACAACTCTCTGGAAGAGTTCTCTGCTTATATCCATCCTAGAAGCTTCCTCTTTGAACTCCACCTAGAGAATGAAAGGCACCAGGCCTCACTAATCAGTGTTCCTGCCTTTGGCACAAATTCAAATTGTTTTCTAAAGCCTTCCTGAGTGGCTGGCAGAGCTTTTCCTTCTTTATAAGAATTTAGACTCATCTAATATTTTTAAACTAGCACTTATCCCCTGTCCTGCTTAACCAAAGGTCTCCCCTCCACTCCTAGGTATTTCCAATCTCCACGTTTTAAAAACACTGTTCACATAATAACAGCAACCAAACAACGGAGAGCTACAGATGCCAATAATAATTAGACACAACCATCACCTCATGGGATTAGTTCTCTTGGTTTAGGGGTTTAGGGCTGTGGTCTCATGGGATAATCTAGTCAATCTGCATAACATAGTTCTTAAAGTTTATATTCTACCTGCCAGCATGGTAAGCAGTGTCTGGAGTCTTAAAAGCTTACATGCGGCAATCTAAGATACAACTACTGGTGTTACTCACCTGGAACAAAAGAGAAAGAAAAAAACTCAAGAATCAGAGAAGGAACTAGACTCCAGGATTAATTATCTACATGAACAATTGCCTCCTCCATCTTGAGACTATAACCAGATGATTCCTGGCTATTACTAGCGAAGAATCTGATCAGGAATACAACATATGAATCCCAATAAAAAGGGAGAAAAACGTGGAACAGAACTTCAAATTCTTAAAAAGTCCAGACTTACTGGACCTACTGAGTCTGGAAGAATCCCCAAGACTATAGCCCTGAGTTGCTCTTCAAACCTTGAATTGAAACTATCCCCTGAAGTCACCTTTAAACTAAATAACAGCTTAGCACAGACTAAAGACTGTCACCCTTGAGTACTGCATTTACAAAAAGAAAAAATTATATATGACAAAAGGTCAACAGCTATTCTAAAGCATAGGTGAGAAAGTTGAGGGGCAGGGTGATTAAGTAAATGGAAATGAAACAACTCAAACAGAAATAAAGAGAATGTTGACACAATGTGAAGAATGTAACCAATGCCACTGATCATTATGTCTAGAAACCAGAGAATGGAAGCAGGGTTTTGCTGTGTATTATTTTCACCAAAAATAAATTTAAAAAAAAAAAAAAAGCTGCTAACTGAACTGCCACTGAGACACTCCCATAGCAATTCTCCTGCCATCAAACTTCCTAACTTCCCAGTTTGCTGATCGACAAAATGTAGCAGCTATGATGTTACTCCCTCCTCTTCTAGGAAGAGCTAAGCTGAAGTTCTCTATAACTGCCCAATTCATGCAGGAACATAAAACTTGACTGGCTTTGTCACAACACAGCCAGAAGTGTGAGAACTGTGTGTCTCACTCAGTAAGCAAACAGAAACAGCAGGGGAAAATGTGGAAAAGGTTGAAGATTTCAAAGACAAGGAATGCAACACTTTGAGTGTGGCATCCAATTTTTTGACTAGTAACTAACTGAACATCCACAGTCAAAGTTTTTCTGGACACAGCACTACTCCCTGGCTGTTGCCACATCTAGATTTTGACTACACTTACCTATTCTGAGCAGCATAGATACTGGCCAGCTTTAAGGAGATTTCAATTATTGCATTGTCTTCCTGTTGAAAGAAAGAGAAATGAAGGAAATTCATGACAAGTAAAATTTCCTCATGGAATATTTCCGATCAACTTTTAGACTGACTTTGCCCTCAAAGCCATAGTCTTTATTCTTTCAGATGAATTAACCAACCGTGAATTCCTTAGCTCACCATGCTTTCGCGTTAGTGAAAAACTGGCAGTCCTAGCGGAAAAAAATCCCCTTTTTTTTGGCCAAAGCACAAGTTTTGATTATTTTTGTTTGGCTGTTTAAAGGGAGAGAGGGAGGGGGTTTCAGGAAGCAAAAATATTTTGAAAACTGCTTAAGCTAGGAGCCAGTCCAAGGCAATGTCCTTACCTGCTTCATGCCCCCTCCAAGCAGGTAACTCATTGTTGCTTTAAAAAGTTTTTCCGCCTAAAAGCATAAGGAAAAGATTTTTTTTCATATCATACTCCATGATCCGTATGACCTTGGATTCTAAGTACCAGTCTGATCCATCATTCCTTGTAAAACATATACGTACACACTCACGCACAGAGGTACCCTTGTGATATGAAAACAGACTATGCCAGGACCCCACATCGTCTGTGCACTTTAAACTACTCTGTGATAAGCAGAAACCGTCTTCAGAGATTAACTACTCACCAAAATCCACTGTGGCAGAGACTGCAAACTGTCCCCTAATATTCACTCTTCTAAACTTTTATTTACAGAATCCCCTCAATTTTTAGCTGGTTAGCCTTCCTTGCACTTAGGTATAGCCATGTGATGAAGTTTTGGCCAACAGATGCAGACAGAAGAAACGTGAGCAATTTTTAAATCATATTTTATAAGGAAAGTGCTTGTCCTCCATTCTTTTTCCTTTCCTGCAGGCGACCAGCTCACCCATGCAGATGAGGACATACATACCTTAGAGAAGGAATCTGGGCTCTAGACTACTTCATGGAGCAGAGGTACCTACCTGCCTTCAGTCTTCAGGCTACCTCTAAGACCACTGAATCAAAGACAAATATACTGCTATCTTGTTTTAGTCACAGTATTTTGGGATCTCTTTGTTACAGCAGTTTAGCCTGTACTCTTACTAATACAGTCTCCTTGAGGCTAGTCCTTCACAAATTCAAGACATGACAAAGTAATTTACTTACATTTTCAAGTTGACCATGTATAAATGCTAAGTTGGCCATCTGAAAAGCAAATTACAAATTATTTTTCAGTTTAGAGCACTGTGTTCCTACTTATTTCAAAGCCTTTAAGCTAAAAACTCCCTTTTTGCTTTCACCTTCAAACTGCAATAATGGTTGAGAGAGAAAAGCATGTCACAAATTAACCTGCTAAAAGCATGGAATACCAATAATGTGAGAAGTAGATACTTGCATATACTTTGCTAATGATAAACCAAATCTAGGACTACTCATCACTGAAGAAACAAATGCTAATGATACCTGTTGCTTGGTCTGGAACTGAAACTTGAAAGTGACACCTCAAGGGTAATAAAAGTCAAAACCAGAAGAAAACTTAGTTTAAAAAACGAGGTTTAGGACATCCTGAAGGTCAGGAATATAAATCAGGGGCGCTAACAAGCCTTCTCTTGCATCCACCCTTCATCATCAGTGGCTCAGGCTGGTTAGAAGAGTTACCAAATCGTAAGTGTAGGTGATGGCCTTGTTGTTACCGCTCTGATAGGCAAGACGGAGAGCGTCATGCAAAATTAGCTCAGCCTCTTCTGGCTCATCTTTCATGATGCTCAACTGAAAAGAGAGGACAAAAAAAACAATAGAAAGTGAAGTATAAAGAAAGTGGATATATGCACTACCAGACAGAAGCAGACTATGGCTGTACCATCCCAATACATAGAAGGAAGCTATTAATTCATTCATTCATCAAATATTTATTGAATTCCTACGGTGGTCTATGTCTACCGGGGTGACAAGAAATCAGTATCCCTTGCAGCTACGTGTGGCCATATAACAAAATTTTGGTCAACAGATGTAGACAGAAGAAATGTGAGCAATTTTCAAATCATATTTTATAAGGAAATTGCTTGTCCTTCACCTCCTCTTTCTCCCTTCCTTTAGGCTGAAGGTGAGCCTGCAGGACAAGTAAGCATAATTGTAATTAATGATAAGAACTACAAAAAAAAACAATGGAAAAGAGTGATAAGGGGTCTCCTCTAAGTGGGAAAGTCAGGGAAGACTTCCAAGGAAGTGCAGTTAAACTGAGATAGAAAGGCTAAGAATAAGCCAACCAAATAAGGAGTTGGGGGAGGCGGGGAGAATGTCCCAACCAGAAGGTAGGGAATGAGTGAAGACACTACAGGCTGAAAAAATTGGTTCTTGGGGGGGGGGGGGAAGAAGGTGGATGTGGAGAGAGGATAGGCAGGTAAGGTAGGCTTCTTTAGATCATGTAGGTCTTGGAGGCCATGGCAAGGAGTCTGGATTTTATCATAAATGCAGTGGGAAGTCACTGAAAAGTTTTTAGCCTAAGGGGTGATATGATATGATTTATATTTTTTAAAAAATCACTCTGCCTGTTGCATGGAGAACAGATTGTAAGTGGCAAGAGGGTAGGCAAGACAACTGGATAGCAGGCTGTGGCAGTGATGATTCACACTAGGGGAGACAGACAAAAGGCTGGAAACATTTTGGAGGTGGTGGCAAGATTTGTTGTGGATTTTAAGTGTATTAGAGGACGGTGGTAAGACTCCACAAGTTTTATGAGATTTCTAGGCTGAGAAACAGGGTAGATAACCGTAAAGACAAAATGATGAAGGAATAGGTTGGAGAGGCGTATATGATCAAGAGTTTAGTTTTGGTCATGTTAGGTCTGAGAGATACTTGAGGCCTCAAGGTGGACATGTCATGTAAGTAGCACACTGTGGTCTGGAAATAAAAATTTGAACGCTGCTGGCATTGAGACAGAATTTAGCCCAATGGAAGAGATGATAACCTGGCAAGGAGGGAAGAGAAAATAGAAAAAGATATGGAGAAAAGGAAGCGCTTGGAAGAGAACCACAACGCAGAGACAACACTAAGTTGTGTTTTGAGGATTAAATGGTGTAGAATTCTCCATGCCCGTTCTTTCAACTTGGCTAGTTAACTGATAAAACCACCACCACCAAACATTTCCGATATTCTGTTTGAGTAGAAGGATGCCTGCGGTGCCATCTCCATCTGCACCTGAGACAGCAGCGCTTACGCAGGTTTTAGAGTCTGACTTGGCTGGATGGATTCCAAAACCCCCTCCCCCTTTATGACCCATCTTTATGACCCATCTAATTCTGGGCCATTTTACTCTCGGGGCCTCCACATATTCTCAGTAAGTTGGAGAGAATATTGAGCATCCCCGAGGCCGCCGAGCCTCTCCGCTCTGAGAGGCGAACGGGCTCGGTCGGCGCAGGGCCGGGGAGCCGCCTCACCTTGGCTCGCTTCAGCAGCTGGATGATCTCAGCCTCGGTCTTATCGGCCGCGTCCTGCTCCTCCTCCTCTGTCGCTGTGGGCCTCGAGAACCAGGTGAGCGCTGAAGGAAGGGGCTGAGGTCACCGGACCCGGCCCGCGCCCGGCCCCAACCTGGCCGCCCCGAGCTCCGATCGGCCCGCGCCCCTCACCTGCCACCAGCGGCAGCAGGCCTGGGCCCCGGCCGTGCTGCGCGACTCGGGCTGAGGGCACGTCCGCCTCGGGTCCCGGGCCTCCTGCAGGCCCCGGGAGCGGGCGCGCGGCGCAGTGCCGGCCTCGCCGCCCCGCAGCCCGCAGGAGGCCTCCGCCCAGGCCTCGTCTCAGGAGCCGGTACATGCTCCCGCCGCGCCCTCTGCGCACTGGAAACCCCGCCGGGTTGCAGGGACGTCCCGCCCCCAGCGCGGACCTGTCCTCCGAGTCGTCGTTGCCACCCGCGTGCGCGATGACGCACGCCCACGTCACTCCTCGCCCCGCCCCGGCGGGCGACGAGAATGCTCCGCCGGACCGCCCAGCCCTTGGTTTGTTGGCCGCGGTGCATTCTGAGGAGGGCTCAGCCTGTGGCGCCATGGCCGTCACGTTGCCGGCGGTCGTGGAGGAGCTCCTGAGCGACATGGCCGCGGCGGTGCGGGAGACCGCGCGAAGTACGGCCGGGGGACGCGCGTAGCCGCGGCGGGGGGACGGGGAGGCCAGAGGCCGGCGCTCCTGGCCTGCGGGGCGCTGGGCGCGAGCTTCGCCGTCAGGCCCCGCGCACCTTCCTTCGCCTACCGGCTGCTTAGTTCCATGTGATTCTGTCTCTAAACCTCCAATTTGTCGTTAAAAAAAAAAAAAAGCGAAATTTGGGCAAGTAAAACTATTTAGGGAGATTCAGCGAGTATTTACGGAACAGCACAGTTGCTGGGGCTCCTTCTTCAGGCGCGAGCAGGCGTAAGGAAAGGCAGGGTTCGGAGTGCCAAGACCTCCCTGGGAGCGCTGTAGTGTGATCCGGAGGGTGAGAGGGGCGGCAGCCTGCGGTGAGTTAGTTACAGACAAGGTGAAGTTGTGAACCATTAAACTTGCCGCTTAGTTTTCTCAGATAAATTATGCTAACTTTGAAAGTTAATACTCTCCTGTCCTCTGTTCAGAAAATAAATATTTTAGAACCACAAAACCCAGATAGATGTGTACACAACGCTAAAAACGGGTACTAAACCGAGCCACAGGACTAAATCTGGATATTGTGACAGTATCTTTTTTTTCCTACCAGTAGAGGATGCTCTGTGACTATGCTTACCAAAATCACTGGGAAAAGACTAGTGTAAGAGGGTACTTCTAATCAAAGTGCTTCAACTAATTACAGCTACTCCCCCAAAGTAAAAATGGTCATTTTATAAACACAGTGGAGTTAGACCTCAAAACTTAACTCGGTTGGCTTTTGTTTTCAAAATGTGACTGCACTATGAAAGGGTTTATTTTGAGTTACCTACATACCCTTTTAAAGGATTGAAAAAAGTCAGTCCACTTTTGTTTTTTCCTTTCAGTCAAAACTATTAGGCCAGCAATGTTCTGATTACAGAAAGGGTGGGAAAAAGCCAGTGTTTCTGGGGCTCTAAGATTTGATGACCTTGAGGGTGGAGTGCTATAGTTATGCCAAAACGACGGTGTTTGAATGGGTTAATCTAGATACTGTGACAGTCTTGATGGGGGCCCAGTAGGTCCCCCTGATAACTCATGGCTTGGTCATAGAAACCCCCTACCATTGATTCACATTTATTTTCAGCAGAACAGTTTTCTGCTATTTCAAAATCTTTGTTCTAGGTAGTCATTCACTCTCACTATCCCCTATCCTTCAATGGTAATTTTTTTAGATAAAGATTCCAACCAAGCTTACACTCATATGACAATATAAAAACTAGTCCTGAGCCATGTGCCTGTACTAGTTGATCACCAGGTCTTTCTTCCAAGGCACCTCTGGGTGGACTCAAACCTCCAACCTTTCAATTTGCAACCTTTTGTCTTGGTACTTGAAAAAACATCTTGGGAGGGTTTTCTCCCAAGCCCTGAGGAGTTGTTACCTTTGCCCTAGTTCTTTGGAGAAGCAACTTGAAGGGGGAGTGGGGGCTCCCAGGTTTTCTACCCCAGAGGGTTTGTTACTTTTGCCCAGGGCATTCCTGGGTTGACTGACATTTCCTGGATAAGCTACAAACAACTTGATACTTTTGTCTGGCCTGGTAATTAACAAGACCTGAGTTGATTGACATCTCATGGGTAATTGAATATTAGTTGAATTATCTGGTAAGGGAACCCCCCGCCCCCCATAACTGATGAGGATCAGGATATATAAACAGAAATCCTTGTGGCATAGTGGTTAAGAGCTAAGGCTGGTAACCAAAAGGTCAGCAGTTTGAATCCACCAGGCACACCTTGGAAACCCTGTGGGGCAGTTCTACTCTGCCCTATAGGGTCACTATGAGTTGGAATCAACTGGACGGCAACGGGTTTGTTTGAAATTAAGAGAGGTTAGAGGTCTGCTGGTTGAGAGAGATTTTGGCTAAGAGCTGGGCTGGCAGAGAAGCAGAGCCACGTGAGAGGCAAGTGGTCCTGAAGCTGCTACACTGCCTATGGCTGTGATTTAGCAAAGAGGCCCACAGTGGAGAGTCCTGACAGCAGAGCAGCTAACAGAGCTGAGCAAGCTGCTACACTGGCTATGAGCTGAGCCCCTGAGCATTGGAGAGGCCCAACAGCTGAGAGAGCTATTCTGGTCAGAAGCTGTCCTGCACTGAAGAAGGGAGGGATGTGCTCTCCACTTACGGGACCCTTCCATATCTTGCCTCTGTGCTTCCTGACTGATCCCGAGTTGTTCCCGTTACTTCCAAGTTGATCCTGATCCCCAGTTGTAGCCTTTTACTTCCCTAATAAACCACATAACTATGAGTATGGTCTGTGAGTTCTGTGAGGCCATTGCAACAAATTATCGAACCCTGCAGAGAAGTAGAGTGCTGTGGAGGGAGTGGCTGGTGTCAAAAATAATGGAGAAATAGGAAACTTTGTGCTGATCCTGATTATTATCCCTGTAAAAACAGCTTGGGGGAGGTATCTGACCTCGTCTAACCCCACAAGGGGGAAGGAGAACCAAGATCAGCAGCCCAAGACTGACTCCTATGAGGCAGAGGTCAGACACACCTCGCGTCTCTGCCATCTCTACCAATTCTGACACCAACCGTCCCTCCCACAGCACTCTGTACTGGATTTGATAATTCATTGCAGTGGCCACACAGAACTCACAGACCATACTCGCAATTATGGAATTTAGGGAACTAACAGTTACAATTCAGGCTTAGGAACACTCAGGATACAGTTCTTCCATCAGGACAGCCTCTCCCCAGCTGTACTCACAGGCATGCCTTTCCCTGGCCCTCAGGCTTTGCCCAGAGGTGCTCAGCTTTCTCTTGTGGGCCAGGAAGCCTACCACCGCACAGTATCCTGCTGGTCTCTCCTTTCTTGGTGATGGTGGGCTCCTCTCCCTTGCTCTGCAACTGGCTCTCTTTTAAGGCAAAACTGACCAATCCCCTTGGGTTACCCCATCACAGAGTCCTGCCAAATCACCTGGGTGGGAGTTAGAAAACCATGGCTAAAAAGGCCACACAAAAAAGTAATTAATCCACCACAATCCCTCTTGTATTTAGACAATTCATTATACCTTATTACACAACACCTAGGGATTCTGTTATCCTGGGACTTCCCTTTATCTATATTGGGCCTTACGTTTAATGTATCCTAGATTTTTCTTTTTGTTGGTTTACTCCCTGATTTTATGGAGCACATACTCCAGTAGCTTCCTGAAGAAAGGTATATGGGATGTA